TGCAGCTTCGACTACTGTGCAATAACTAATCTGTTATTTCTGCTTTGGCACTAATACCGTCGTCGGTGCTGCGCCATAACCTACCCAAGTAGGGAGTTCTGTTTATTATAATCTATGATGGTAATTAGGCAACAAAATATATTCTGATCACCAAACTGCAGGTCTGAACGATCGTGTTACAGCTGAGAGTCGCTATCACAGACGCGCTCTCCTGGCAAGCTTTTAGACGACGCAGCTCTGAATGGCCTAGCAGGCCCTATAAGCTGAAGCCCCCGGGAGACAATATATGAGAACAAGACGTGCAAGAGTTTGCATGTATATTCTGTTGTTACGAGCGGAAAAGTTTTTGTGTGAAATTGCAGTGCCATGATTCGACATTTTATTTTGAAAACTTTTTTCATCATTTACACCTGCAAAAAGTACCACAGTCGAAATTGCAAGTGCACTATAAATAGTTCAAATTAAGGGTCTGGTGGTAATATTATCAGGGATTGTAAGTGGTCCGATGTTGCAATCGAATACCTGCATATTTATAAATAGTGAATGGTAGATGGGTGTGTAATGAGGCAAACATTCTCCACCGTTGCTGGTGGAGAATGCAAACCGAGGCTTTACTTGGATTTCATTTCATAGCAAGCCGATGAAAGTCAGAAATCCGATGAAAATCTATCAAAATTTTGACGATAGCCTAAAACCGGTCAGCAGTATGATTGACCTTCTCTAATAAAATATATGCTGGGATAAGCGAAAGCATTCATATTATTTCCGAATTTTCGAGAATCCGACTTACCCGTTGAGCAGGCTGTTGCAGGGTCCGTAATGGCTTCTGAAGCCTAAAGGCGTTCGTATCCCGTCGACAAACTCGGTTATTGACAGTCATTTTGCGACCGCCCCGAGCCTTCCGTCTGTGAAGTGTGCGCGCTCGAGGCTAGACGTCTTACGATGACATCCTCCATGTATTACAGAACATTTTTCGTAAACTTCCAAAATATATTTGACGTACGTACGACGTACATTGTTAACATTGCACCTTCTTTGTACATATTAGAATATTATTTTAAGGAAAAAGTGTGATCTAAAGTTTTTTGGGAATAATAATAATGAATACATATTATGATTATTGTATTCTCTGAGGCTAGTAACTTACATTGTACCTTAAGATTGAGGTTAGCATCTAACGAAGTGAAATGTTTTTCCATAGATTTTTTAAGCTTTAGTTGGTGCCTTAGATGAGATTCAAAAGTGTTAGCAAATAATTTAATATAATTTTCATTACTTTCATTATTGTAAATTGTTGAATTTAAATTCAGGCTTCACTGTTCAGAGACTGGTGAAAATTAAAGTGTGTAATATTGTGACAAACTTTATGAGTGGAGTAAATTGCAATAAAAAATAATTGTTTTTTTTTTCACTTCGAGTTCTTTATGCGTTATAAGTATTCACAAAATACCATAATTGGGTCGTCTCGATGTTAGTAATGTTAGGTTTGATTAGGTTACGTTAGTTTAAATATACATTCCTTACTTCACTCTAACAGGAGGCTCATTTTACGACTACCAATCTCCATACACTACACCACTGTTTGTACTAAGTTCATTTTGCTCTCATATATCTACACTCCTAAACTCCACTTGAGTATTAGGTTCACTCTACGCTTACCATTTATTCCTCGTTCTTCGCTGTTAATCGGTCATAAAATAGGGAATCGTGGGAATCGTGTTGAACGTCTCCTATGGTTTAATAGGCGTTTAAATAATCTGAGGGGATATATAGCAACTCCTCTGTTTCAGCCATTGTTTCCCGCTATACTTTTTTCGCCGTTCAATTAGGGATGTTGACACAGGTTTTAAATTGTATACCTATAAAAACTGTAATGTAATCGCCCGTAGATGTTTTGAACACTAATTATTATGTGCTGTTATTCGATGTAACAGGTTTTTTAGCGTGCTCTATATGCTCTTATTGTGACCAGCGGTTTAAATCATCAAGATTGGAGCAGCTGAGGGGTACGGAGCTCGCAACTAATGGTTAAAATTCTGGTCGAAATAGGCGAGGTGGACGCGAATGGTTGAGAATCCTGAGCAAGGATTCTTAATTAGGATTCGTGCCTTAATTAGGCAAGGTTAAGCCTTGCCTGAGCAAGCTGACATCATTGTATATAATTGCGGATCATCTAACTTATAACTAATTCGCTCGATGGCCAAGTTGCCAGCGTCTTTGTGTCAATAAATATTATAATTATTATTATAGATGTGTTTCGAATCAAAAACTTTTCTAGAACTCTTCCAGCTAAACACGATGAATTTGCTTATTGAAGCGTTTCCTGCGCGGTGTTTCGATCGCTCAATCTACTGAAATCAAATTTGGCCAGCGTTACCAGTTCCGTTTCATTGCTCAATTAGATTCAATTAGATCAATATAGATACATTATTTTAATATCGAAAGGCTGATCAATAAAAGGCGCAAAAAACTGAAGCTTCGTAAATGGGGGGGGGGAAGCAAGATTATGAAAAATAATTCGCGAACTAAACTTATAAAAACAGTTAACCATGTTAAAGCAACTTATATATAAAAGGAAAATTTGTAAGGCGATGATATGAGGAGGATTCTTACGATTTAAACAGAGGACCTTGATCATTAGCTGGAATAAAAAACTTAAAAGAAACGAAAATTACATAAATTATATCAATTTTTTAAGCATTACACTAGATAATTGATGTAAATATTTTTAGAGGTTCCCCACCGATGCATGTCTAGAATGAATTCCTTTCCATTGAAAAATAAGGAAAAGTTTTCATTGCCACTTTCTCGATCTCGAAACGATCTATGCCATTGAGAAATAAACCATGATTGGATTTACTTTTGCTTCTTTAATTAGTTTGCAATAAATTAGGTGAAAAATCCAATGATTATGCATTAAAAATATATTTCTTTGAATCTGACCACAGATTTCGTAATAGTTTGGTACCTGTGCACTTTTTGGAGGTTGACTTCTCTACACGCTGCCTAGAGGCTAGCAAGATCCCGAGTCCAATGATTGGCTGCATCTCCACCAATGATAAGGCAGGAAATTAACCGGAAAACAGGCTAATATTCGCATTTACCAAGCAATTCTATTTTGCATGCCAACCCGGCGTATCGTAGCTGCTGGAGATGAGGCTGAAATCTGTGCGAGAATTACATCAGAGCGCAACCATGCGTGCAACTGATACAATATAACCGTTTTCTTATCATGCTTCAGTAGCCATATGGGATTACTGAACGCCACATTTTGTATTCGATTAGGCAAGTATCAAAATACAATTCTATCAAAAAACTATTTGAGATACTTGGGTATAGTAATTATGCGATTTTAATTTTGAATTCAACAACACGAAAGACTCAGGTTGTTCGTTCATTATTCATGTCCATCATCATGAGAAATGACAACCACTGATTATTTTATTAGTCATTTGAATTTTTGTGTTTATCATGTATCTATACATCAAATTCTGAGTTCTCGGAACGTAAATTTGATATCATAAATTCATTTTGCAATGTATTGATTTGCATCAAAATTATATAATCCGGGCCATTTATTATGAAATAAAAAGGAATTCAAGTAGAAGTAACTAATATGCCAGAGAATAACTTTCGAGGACAGGTTTGTGTAGGTTGTAAAGGAAAATAAAATATCGATAAACTTCAACGCAAATTACTTGAAAGCTTTTAAATGTTTGATTTTACGCTATTAATTCTCACTGTACCGCAGCGATTAATTATTACATCATGCAAATACTTGATTTATTGCATAATTTTAGGTAGCGTCGTTGATCGAATGGCCAATTTTCTGTTGAAAACACGACTCCGTGAAGTTACTTTAGTTTAGCATCTAAGTTCGTTTTTTTGTTATGAATTTCACAAAAAATGTTTCTTGGTAAGCCATCAACAAACGTATCGCACTGTTATTGAGCTGTAAGTCTGTAACTATGTAACTCCCTGTCTAAATTGTAATGCTAATGTGATAAGCTAAATAGTGAAAAAAATCCATATAAAAACTTGTCAATAGATTCTAAATAATTCAACTGCTCCCAAATTTTCCTGCAGACGCCCCTGAATTTCTTCGTCAGCGTAAAAAAATGAAAAAGTACTTAAAAATAAAGTTAAATGAAATATTATTTTGTAGAAATTAAAACCGCAATCAATGAAGAATAATTTTTAATTCTTTAAAACCTGGCTGTTTTGTAAAAAAAACAGCAACGAATTTTTACCTACTTAATTTGTCCTGAAACGAAACATAAACATATAATTCATTTGCATTATAATCTAAACTTAAGAAAAAAAACATGATTTATGGTTGTATTAAAAATTATAAAAAAACGATAGCTCTTGAGTTTAATGTAAACATTGGAAATATCATTCTTGCAACCTAGTTAGAAAGAAGAAAAACAAATTGATAACTTGGCGTTAAGTTTTCGGCAAAAAGTTTATTATCAGTAAAAAGTTTATTTCCGGCGAAAAGTTTATTTCTGGCGAAAAGTTTATTTCCGGCGAAAGGTTTTTTTCCGGTAAAAAAGTTTATTTTCCGTAAAAATTTTTTTGTAAGAAAAGAAATAATGCAAGGAGGATTAAGATGTCCAATGTCAACACAAGCTCCAGCAAAGAAATTCGTTCAAAAATGATCGAGTTGAAAATTTCCCACCTTGATGTGAATTTACACCAGGAAACGTTCCATCAGAGACGGAAGAATTTCCGAAGGCATACAATACACCATATACCATACACTCATGTATTCTTTAATTAAAATGCCTTTTCAAATATTTCATTTAAGATCGAAAGGTTTATGTGGTTTGGCACAAACAAAATGCTTTGTTCGATGTATAGGCACGGTAACGCCAAACCGTCCACTCCCTCCGCTGCAACACAAGAGTCAAATTACAGTGATATTACAATGAATCACGTACTCACTGTACAGTATGCACTGTTCTGCAGTCGTCGTGATGTGCAGCACTGCAAGCTGTTCTCCACTATGTGCAGTGCTTCACTGTACGCGGTGCTTCACTATTGGATGTGCTAAACATTAGGCTGTGTTTTGTTGTAGGCTGTGCATCACTACATTGTGCATCGCTGCACGCTGTGATCCGCTGTACGTTGTGCTTCACTATTGGATGTGCTTTAACAGTAGACCCTGTGAAGCATATTTCACCTCCCCCTTCCCTCTACTCCAGGCATTTGGCGTCCGCCGTACATTATCGACAGGAAAGACAAACTTCATGCAATAAAATGACGTTTTTTATTTCGATCTCAATTTTTTTCTGCCTCCAAATTTCATTCCGAAGTTGCATCCCAATTGCAGGTAAGAATAATAAATAGCCCGCAAATTTTACAGCCTCAAACCTCTGTGTCATTTTCAAAGTTAATGTAATGGGCATTCTACAAATTATCCTACTAGCTGGTGGAATCGAAATTATGACTAAAACTCCCCAATTATCTCTATTTGATTTCCATTTGTATTATTGATAATTAATTGAGAACATTGATCGTATTTTCGTCTCTGTCATTTGCGTGTATTAATTTTTTGTGTCAGACTTAGAAAATATTTTGCTGATATAATCGGAGACGTAGGTAAATATTTATGAGTTGAGTATGAATTTCTTGTATGAATATTTGAGTTTCGCAATTTTGTTCCTGAACACATATGTAAAACATCGTAGATGGACTGCGTGCGTTGATTGAAGAATGTACAGAATTTACTTCAATTAATTCTACATTTGTTTTTCATCAGCAGGCTTGTTACCAGCTTACAACTTGAGGCTTAGTGAGGCAACAGTTCAGGTGGCGGAGGATTTCAATGTAAGTTGGATGATGACTTGTAAAGTGAAGCGTATGTATTACCTGGAGTCAGCTAAGTTATAAAGCTTCATTTATTACGTTAAGAAATCAGCATGATAATTATATTCACCTGTCGTAATGTAAAATAAAAGTTGAATGTTGCAAACGGGGATCAACCTTATGGGATAAATTTTTGAATTTTGTGTAACCCATTTAATATAGATTCCACTATCGACTTACCAAATTTAAAAAATATATATACAAATAAATATATATGTTTTTCATATATAATAAAAAAGTATTTATATTTATAAATCATATTGTCGATTGACTTAAATCACTTATTGAAAAAGTATTCACTTTCTGCATTAACTTTCCAGGCGCCAATTGAGAAGTCTCAGGGTTCACGGAAACTGCTGACGTTAGCATCAGACCGAGAGAGCAGGAACTTATTGACTGACTTGAACTCGTCTGAACGTCTCGTACCGCTCACCAAAGAACAAGAAAAACCCATCGGATATCTAATGAAGCGAATAATACGCAGACCCAACAGAATAGAGAATAGTACGCAAGATTACCGCGAGACAGCGCGAACCGAGTACTTCACGACGCTTTTGTTCAAGGGAAGATGTTCAGTTCTGAGAAGAATGCATCCAGAACATCTACGTCGCCACCTAAAAAAGATATTGTGGGAATTGCATCACAATTTGTCTCGGGAAGCACGGATCGTCTCGATCAGCTGCCTTTATAGACTGAAAATTGTAATTTCATTGCCGATTTATAGAGGTGAACGAATACTGTACAATGAATTGATGTTGTTTAGAGGCCGTAATTTTACAATTGATGGAACAGAGATCGAGTTTCGTGTGATACTCCCTGATGATAACAATGTAATAGTTGAGAAAGCTGATCCTGCCAAGAATGGGTTTCATGAACTTTTAATTCTTTTCCTAATCACTTTGGTTTGTTGCATTTTCGTTATTATGTCTATGGTCATTGCACGATGCTATGCTTGCATTAGACTCATGATCTTCAAACCATCACTACTTGACCTCTCTCGCTACAGCCAAGATGAGATCCCAAAATGCATGGCGGATAATTTCGCCAAAACTGGAAAGGTGATGCAAGTTGCCAATGTTTACGCGGTCCCAGGATTCCTGCACACCATCCATGAGAAGAACATGACTGCACAACAACAGGACCAAGTTCATGATAATTCCGAGGACGAAATCAGCAGCGACTGGTCCACTGAGGTAGAGTTCCCGAACTACCGGGAAAGTATCTCGGCGGATCCCTTCAATAAACGCGATGGAGAACCCACCAAAGATTTGCAAGGCTCAAATGAAACTGACAAGCTGCTGAACCTTGCTTGCATGGAGGACAAGTCGGAGAAGAGCTCAGCAGGTTTGGTTCCTATGTACCGTTGCCGCACGCTAAACTCGGATTACGAAGCGGTCGCGGTCGACGGTGAGGACGATAGCGACGATTCGATGTTTGAATCCGTTTGTGTAACACGTGTCACGGATGGATATGATGGAAGGCTAAAAATTGAAACAGACATGTAATCATAATTACCCTAACTTCTCAGTTTATTTATTTTGATATTTATCACACAAAATGATCATTCAAATCATCATACCTTTAAATTTCTGTTTTCCGGAAAATTCTATGCAACTAATTTTCTTTGCTATAACATCATACACCATTATCTCATTTTTTTATATTCAAAGCCAAAATTGACTCGCAAACTTTTTAGAAAACTTCAAAAACGATCTATATCTGTCAGCGCTTCTATCAATGAAAGTTATAGAGATCACCAGTCTTTAAATTACGTTACAAATATTATGCCCGTTTTGCTGTTGGGTTAAAGATCTGACCATGCAACTTATTATAGAATAGAATAGAAGTGTTGGGACTGAAGAAATGGGCCCATGGCCTGTTGCTGATTCTTGTACTTTTCGTGACTTGATTCACATGCAAGGGATACGGCCTTTGGAACTCGACCTTTCAATAACAGACGATTAATAGAGATAGCTGCTGAACTTATTGCCTGGTCCGTAAGGTGCTATATAGGGCAGCTAGGCATTTCAAGACTGAACAAATGCTCCTGCATTGCTTCGTCTAGTCTGTTCTTAGCATAGCACAGCATAGCATAGTGAAGTCGGCGCTGAAGAATAGGCCTGATGTGGCCTGTCGCCGTTTCTTGTACTTTTCGTGACTTGTCCATAGGAGATCTAAAAACAGGTCCTTCTACCGGATCTTTTCCAAACTGTCGATAGTTTGAAATATTTACTAGACTTTCACCGGGTTCGATATAATGCTAGGCATATTAAGTCTGAACATATATGATATATTTCTCCATAGCTTTATCTAGTCTGACGCGTATATACTCGGAGCGTCAAAGATGTAATCGGGGAGGCTCTAATTCCACATGTCGGTGATTCGAAGCGAGAAAAAATGTTGTCGCGTGGATGAGTTGCAACGCAGTTTTTTAGTTTCTAGCCGTGGCCCCTGGTTTGGTTCTTGTTTCAAATTCTAGTAATCCTTCTGAGACCTTGTATAGACCATGAGTTTACTTGTATAATTCAATGAGGTCCCCACGTAGACGTCGATAACAGAGGTCTGGAATATGAATCCAAGAGTGGTGTTGAAGGACATTAATGGTCACTAGATTAGCCAGTGCGGGAACAAGCGTGAGTCACACAGCGTTGTCTCAACGAGAATGGCTTGCATGGACGCTGACCTCGACGAGTCCCACTTCACACACCTATGTCGCTGCTCATTTGACATCCGCAAGATCTTACGTGGATAAAAAGAATGGCTTTTGAAACCAAGTATTACTGAGTACGAAACAAAAATTAGGCAATTTGGACCTATAAACACAAAAAAGATTTGGTGGAAGAGAGTGATACTTTCCTTCCAAAGAACATTATCGAATACCCAACAGTCAATCATGGGGGTGGATCTATGATATGTTTCGGGCTTGTTTCTCCTCAAGTGTCACAGGGAAGTTAGTTCCAATTGATGAAATAATGAACTCAGATTTTTCTATACCGATTTTGAAGGAATATTTGCAAACAACTGCTCTGTAGTTGGGTCTTCGACGACGAGGGATCTTTCAGCAAGACCACGATTCGAAGCATGCGTCGAAAGCTACGACCACTTGGTTAAATTAAACGAAGGCGACTGTTAGTCCATGATCAGCAAATATCCTCGATTTGAACCCGATTGAGAATTTTTGGCAAGCATTTAACGTTACATTCAATAACCGAGCTTCCAAGATTCAACAGAAACTGAAACAATTAAGTTGCAATTGAAGAATGGGATAATATCAAACCGGATAGCACTTCGAATCTCATCAAGAACTATAGAAGGAGACTGCTGGAGGTCATAGAGATGCAAGGACATGCCATTGATTATATTATCAACATTGCAACTATGTTAGTATTTTCCAACTCTACGAATGATTGTGTCTTAAGGTGTTGAGGAATTTTGCATGTTCAAGCGTTTTGAAACTACCTACATTTTGTTCAGAAAATGTATTGTTATTTTCCTTATTGCATGTTGCATAGTTCAATCAAATCTTAGGCTAATATATTCATTGATTTTCGAGTTATGCAAGAAAATATCGAAAAGAAAGAGGTGTACGAATAATTTTATTGCTTTTTGTATTCGACAATTTGGTACGTAATAGCGCCCTCATTGTAGCACATGATCCTCCATTTCCCTCGAGAGCGAAAGTAAGCAATTAAACTCAGGTAGGCCTTCCTCTTCATGTAATTTAGGCACAATTTTAATACTTCTTATGTCACTCAGGACTGGAGAGCTCTAAAGCCATCCAGGACGTTAATGCGCTCCTCAAGAAGATCTGCGATGCACATAAAAACTGTCTTCGGTTTCCGTTAAAATATGCATATATTAACGGAAACCAGAAGTTCATGTATTTAAGTTACATACGCATCGCCGTACATATATTTGAACATCCGTCATTTGAGTTTCCATTAGAAATCCTAGATTTTCTAAAGGAACTTCATTTGCTTCGATTTGATTGACCCAATCTAAATTGGGGCCAACCATCTACTTCTATATCAGTGGTTCCCAAAGTGGGCGATATCGCCCCCTAGGGGCGGTGGAAAGATTTTGGGGGGCGATAAGGAAGAAGAGGGCGGTGCGGTAGGGGGGCGAAAGGGGGGCGGTAGTCCGAAGTCAGTGTCAGAAGTTCGAACGTTTGTTTGACGATTTGTACACAACACGTGCAGCACATGACTCCCAGCGATGGTTTTTTCTGTTTTTTTTTTTTAACCTAGCTCTCCTGGGTTTACGTCTCGGACAAATTAACGGCCGGACTCGAGGCCGGTCTCACGGCCAATTTTCAAATTCAATGATCAAGGAATATCTCTCAAATTAATGAACTTAACTCTATGAAACTTGGTACACGCATTCATTAGGACCTAACGGTAATGTTTTGCTCGTGAAAATTGTTTGAATTTTGCCATCGTTTGTTTTTTTCCTAACTACAAAAAGGTAATGTTTAGCTCGTGAAAATTTTTTCGATTGTGCTATCGTTCACGAGTTTTTTTTTTTCATTTCACTTTCATTCGTGATTTAAACAGCAATTCGTGCTTAAATTCGCAGTAATCAAGAAATTTTTTCCAAACTACTGAACAGATTTGAACGAAACTTAGTATTCGAATACCTAACCTCAGCAACGGTGATGTTTACATTTTTTCTTTTTGCCTTCGTTTGCGAGTTATACGGCTATACGTATACTGAATCTGATTTATAGAAGCCTTCGATCGACCGGTGGAAAAGCCGGTCGTTCCTACTATATCTGTATAACTCGCAAACGAAAGCAAATGGAAGAATTGTCACGAGCTAAACATCACCGTTGAGAGGTTATGTATTTATATACAAAGTTTCGTTGAAATCTGTTCGGTAGTTTAGAAGAAATTTCTTGATCGCCGCGAATTTGAGTAAGCGACAAATTACCCGGCGATACGGGCCGAATATAAGGAAGTGTGAAATCAAGAATGACGGTGAAATGAAAAAAACTCGCAAACGAAGGTAAAATCGAAAAAATTTTATAAGCTAAAAAATCACCGGTTGGTAGTTAGGAATGTATATTCAAAATTTCGTTCAAATCTATTCAATAGTTTGGAAGAAATTCTTTGATCAATGCGAATTTCGGCCTGTTTCGCAATATACGCGCAACTCACGAATGAAGGTGTAATTTAAAAAATTTACGAGCTAAACATCACCGTTAGGTTCTGATGAATACGTGTTCCAAGTTTCATAGAGCTGCGTTCATTTGTTTGGGAGATACTACTTGATAATTGAATTTGGAGATTGGTCGTGATGTGAGACCGGCCACGAGTCCGGCCGGAAATTCGCCCGCGACGTCCTAGGTTTCTAGTGCTGAAACAGTTAAAACAGCTGAAAAACATATTGGTTCACTAAATGGGGTTCTATTTGTGAAATACACATTTGTGTTTAACCTTTACCTTTTAAAATTACAGCGTACTAAAGTTCAAGAAAGTGGCGTATGTCTGTGGGGGGCACTAGAAATTCACTAGGGAGCCAAAGGGGGCGCTAGTCTGAAAAGTTTGGGAACCACTGTTCTATATGATGGGACCAGCCTAACCTCCAGCAACATATTCTCTTATTCTGCATGTTTTGTCCCATCACGACGGTTTTACTTGTACGTGAAGTATGCTAGTGAAGGCACTTATCATCACTATGAATTTCTGAGTCGCTGGAACCATGACTTCTAAGCTGTTTGACTCTTCTTCTGCTAATAGCTTATTGATTATTATACAGGCACATTTCACCTCAAATCTAGATGCCATGAATGACCTGAATTTTCTATCATATCAGGTGTAGTAATTCTCAAACCTGATGGCTTAGCGAATTCTTAATCAGATGCTCGATCTCAATTCCGCAAAGCACGTGTTTCGGGCAGTTTATGTATAAAAGTTGTTCGTTATGGGTGTCTACAATTCCAAGTAAATATTAATCTTAAAATATCAGTGCGCCTAAAACAATTTGATGCCATCAGAGCAGCGCCGTGAGGGTACCAGTAAAGGTATCACGTTAAATCAGTTGGTTGCAAATACAATTTTTAATAGAGTCGTTTAGACGTCGTCGCACTCATTATGGACTCGCGCACTCGTTTCGTCGGAATTATCGAGGGTCAATTGAAACATGACATAAGGCGACGAGCCTCTCGATCAATACAGGGTTCATACTGAAGACCTTAATACGGAGTAGTATTCTGATGAATGATGAAGTCGTGATGAAGAGTCATTCCAATGAAGAGTCATTCTGAAGATTGAAGAGTTGATCTGAAACGTTTACTTGTGGTGTGACATGCCATGCTCCCGCTCACCCCTCGTCTGCTTTCCCATCATTGTTCGTCATTGCTATCATTCCCCGCATTTACCATTCCTATCATTGCCTGGATCAAACTTTGTTCTATTGCTCAGGGATAAAAAATGTAATATTTTATACTAAGTGGGCCTAATATCTGCAGCTCTTAATTAGGTGTGCCATAAATACACTAACGCCCGAATGACGTGACCCTCATTGGATCGCATGCAGTTCAGTTTTTTTCATGCTAGCGAGAATCTCGTTTGGTGTTCCGGGTAATTCAGTCGCATTTATCGAGCGTTGCAGTTACTCAAAAATGCGGCGCCCTGCCGGTCGTCAGGAGACTAGTGTGTGGAGTCGTGGCCTACGGACACGTTACCTACAATATCCGTTAGCGTATCGGCACTTAGATATTAATTTTTCATAGTTTAAATGCTAAAGTTAAGAATAAATTGGAAAAACTAGTGAGTGGGACTGTAGCCCATAAACACGTACCAATACAATCTCCGTTAGCGACGCTGCATTATAAATGTTACTTTTACTTAGTTCGAAGGTTGAGCTTATGACTAAATCTATTGGGCTGAATGCATTCAGTCATTTTGAAATGGTGTGTGCTATTTGTTCCTTCATCAATGTCCCTATATAAGAGAGCTGATGCATTTGTAATCCAAACATGAACTTTGATTCATCAATTCACAAATACAAGTCAATTCCATGATATCCTATTTAGTTCATTGAATTTGAAGGTTGTAACAGAAAAATACTTCAGCGGGAAACGAGCTAATCATTTCTGTAGTTTGACATCGATGCCAATATTCCGACATTAGATAGAAACTCTTTTTTAAGCCTCATAAAATGAAGAAAAAACAAACCAAAAAATACTTTGGGCTTTTGCTTGTCATAATATTATATCTGAATCATTCAATTTTTTTATAATATTGTAGTTAACCGCCCATTTTGATTGAAAGTTTCAGTGACGAGTGATAGTTTCACTCGTCCATTTTTGAAAGTTTCACTCGTCCAAGTTCATTATAATATTTTACGTCCTCAATGGTTCAAACTATAATTGTGCAGGCCGTTGCTCTTCAACTTTTTGATAATTTTGCGGGCAAATCGACATAAGTCATGAACTTTGCAAACCTTTAGTTCTTGTTTCATTCACTCCAGAGCACCAAATTTTTTTCTCACTCGTGCTTGGCCTTAATGAAATTATTATTATTCAGTTCAATCTCTTACCTTTTTCAACCACGTCAACAACATCTGCGTAAACAAGTATCGACTTAGTCCGCTGGAGCAGAGAGGGCTTGTTCAAATGATGGCTGGTGTTGTGCTACCAGTAACCGTGGTATTCCTGGTCGCTATGGTACACTTGAGTGGTGCTGCGGTTGTCGCCAGTACCTACTCCGCCGCCACCATGGGTGAGTAAAACGCGGCGTCTGGTGTTGTGCTACCAGCAACCGTGGTTACCCCTGGTCGCCATGGTACACTTGAGTGGTGTTGCTGTGGTCGGCTGATCGCCACTACCTACTCAGCCGCCACCATGGGGTGAGTAGCGCGGTGGCTGGTGTTGTGCTGCTAGCCATCATGGTATTTCTGGGAGGCTTGGTGCACGCGCGAGCAGCACTGTGGCTGCGATCGCCGCCACGACCTACTTTGCCGCCATGTAGATTATAGGAACGTATCGCTTCTCTCATTGGTTAACATTAGCCGCATTTGTATGTTAATATTACATTCTTATGTAAATATTATATCGCATAGTTACCCCCCAGCAGACCGGTTTTGGGCAGTAAACTTTATTGTCTATCAACAAATACCTAACTAAGTATCGCTCGTGACCCCGCTGTGCCACTAGCGATGCTCGCACCAATGTTTTGAAACTGCTACCCCTTTGTCATCCGATTCATTAATGGTCGTCAATACTTTTAAGTACGAATACTACATTTTCTTTGTCCGTAAAGGCAAGGGAACGGGAGTTATAAACAGCAGACATAGGGTCTTTTGTTTTCAATGTCTTCCCTCGTTAGCTTCAATGTATTCATGTACAATGTAGAATAGATGAATCAATAAAGTATGTGATTAAATTGAGTAGCAGGATGAATAAATCGAAGCACCGTTTACGATTTTAGTGTCTCAAAAATAGAGTGGAAATTCAACTCTTTTATTCTAATATTAATTTTGTTTATAACAATTTCAATTGAACAATTATTGTGTTATATCATGGCTATGACCCCACTTATAGTTAGTTACTGTTAATCATATCTACACACACACCCGTTCATCAAAAATTTAACCCGATGTAAGAGTTGCAACAGCTTTTTCTTCTTTTTCATTTGTGTGATATTAAATAGAATCCTGAAGGCCGATTTTCTGATAAAAAATCGATGCGGGCCTAACTCTGCATCAGCAGGTGCCGGCTAGGACTCGGTGAGCACGTAAATCAGCCGCTAATGTCCACTTCGGCGAGGCTGGAAGTACAGCCTCTTATCAGCTTGCAAGCTTGGCACGATTCGGCTTCGGTCAACCCTTATCACTCTCTCATGAAACTATAAAGGCGGAAAGGAGATTCTGACCGGAAAATGATTTCGATCGTGTTACCAAGCAGATGCGAAGTAACAATAAGCCGAACGTAATGACTTCTGAATTGAAGCGTATCCGTTACCCGATTTTTGTTTGGGTTGGGGACAATCTATGTTTAGCAATGTCGGGCGCACCTGTTTGCCGCAAATAATACAGTTCCTCATTGATTAAATGGGACTTATTTTACTCATAAAACAGTATAAGACTTTATTGATTGTAAATATCAGTTAATTTATTATTTTGCGTGAACTACTGTAATCTTCACTGGATAGGGTTCAGGAAGCCGGTCTCGGCATTGTACTCATAATATAACATAAAACATTGTTTTACTCTTCATTTATTACTATTGCATTAATTATTGTATTCTCCACTGTATGGGAGCCGGCAAGCTGCTGTCAGGGGCGTCCGTAGGTGCGGTGACCAACCCGCAGCGCTGCCTGCAGCTGTGTGGGGGGGCGCCTGCCTGCGTCGCCTTCAACTTCAACGGTAGATTTTTTTACATGAATATTTTAGTATAAATACATTTTAGCACTTGTATCCTTAGCTACACAATTGAAGGATACACTACTTTGATTGAGGCTCTACTGAATAGATTGAGGTTCTACTTAATAGATTGAGGCGCAATTTAGTTTATTTAGGCACTATTTAATTAATTGAGTCGTTACCTAATTGATTGAGTCGCTACTTAAATTATTGAGGTGCTATTTAATTGACCACTAAAGTAAATCCTATGCTGCACAATCCTATGCTGATGGCGACACGGATGTGGTTTGGTGGGTAAGAAGAAACGACGCTTTTCTTTTGGTAGTTTTTACTTGCTATCGTTGGCGACAATGGTGACGTAAGTGATTTGATGGCTTGGTGACGTAAGCTGGAAATAATATTTAATATTGGGTAATAGGCCGAGAAAGACATACATGAAACTTACTCTAGACAGGGGCTGGACTCCCATTGTTTAGGCTTAATTAATAACGTAACTGAGCGTTGTTAATTGATACTCGATGACAGGATTGAAGGGAATTGTTTAGGTCACAAGCATGGTCAATTGCGCAGTTACTTGTACAATGTGGTTTTGCAGACAAGAAGGAGAGGCTGTTACTGGCGTTTCCTCGCTTATGCTAGCATTTGCCAACGCTGGGTTGAGCTCTGAAATTGATTACTAGGTATTACAATGCCGACGCTGGGTTAGCTTTGATTACGATTAGTGCCAGCGGCTGCGGTTGAGCTTGAACTACGATTCTGATACCTGGAATCGTGAGATAAAATATTAAATTTCGAGGACAATATCTTAAAGTTACCTAAATTGCTTCAAATTAAGGGAAAATTTTCAAATTTTATCCGGTAAGCGGAGAACAAAGTAGTCTCCCTTAAAACTTTTCTCTAAGATTGAGTAGGAGAAAACGGAACGGCGTCTCTGCTGGCTACACAGAGCTGCGGTGGTGGTGCAGCACTCGAGCTTTATTATGGCACTGGTGCGGTGACGCTTCACGCTGGCGCTGGCTTGGCGCCGGGAACCGCTTGGGGGCTCGCTGCGTTCATGGAATGATAATGTCGTTGATCATTGCGATATTTTCCACGCACTTGTTGAGTGCACGCCGGGATGAGTGAAGATTGTAGGAAATAATAGAAAAGGATAGGATAACTTGTAAGTGCGTTGAATTTAAAGAGTGACGAACGACGTCACAGATGATGTATCGTCGAAATGCCATGAGACACTCAAATGCAATTACGACGCGCCACAGTACAGGAAATGTGTTCTGAATGATGTAATAAATTAAGATGCGAAAGTAAAACGAGCCAATGAATAAAGTTACGATCAGATTTGATGAAGCCAATATTTCTTCTATAGTTGTAATGGATTATTGTATGGCAGCAAGAAATTTATTGCATTGCATTGCTGAAGAGAATGTTTTCAAAACTTATTTTTGTTTTAAAATATTAAAATCCTCGTACAGACGTGACCAGGGAGTGCGAGCTCGTGGCTGCGGTAGCCGGCAGCGCGGTGCTGCCGGGCTGGCGCAGCTTCAGGATGCTGTTGCCGCCGACCGCCAGGATTATGGTGGGTGTCGCCCACCATTTCTCATTATTTTTATTGTTATTTGTCAGTCTATATGATTAGGTGTAACTTGAATGATTATAGCACACAAAAATGCGAGCAGAATGCCTCCTATTCACGCTGTTGCCAACAGGACCCATGCGCCAGCAGCCCGTGTCCTGCTAACAAGGTGTGTGTACAGCACTGGCCCCCGTCCTACGTCCCCCGGGACATCATGGCGTCCCTCAACTACTCCTCTCCGGGCTACGTCTGCTCGGGTCACCAGTGGCTCCTCGCCCGGCGCAGCGAGAACAAGACCAGTGAGTCTACTGCATACAACTAATTACATAAACTAATAGTGTAACAATATTGTTGAGGATTTTATTATGTCTTAATATCATTACGGTGAGTTATCGTAAAATATTATTGACTAATTTAGCAAACATTGAACATGTGTTGGTCACAGCCCCGTGGCCCGTGCGTGTGCAGGGTGTGTGTGGAGGAGCCTTGTTGACACCGACTATCCTGGCTACGATCAGTTCTAAAACCCCCGTGTGTGTGCAGGGTGTGTGTACAAGAGCCTTGTTGACATCGACTATCCTGGCTACGATCAGTTCTAAAGCCCCCGTGTGTGTGCAGGGTGTGTGTATAAGAGCCTTGTTGACATCGACTATCCTGGCTACGATCAGTTCTAAAGCCCCCGTGTGTGTGCAGGGTGTGTGTACAAGAGCCTCGTTGACATCGACTATCCTAACTACGATTTGGTCGAAAAGGACGCCCTCTACGCCGAGGCGCTTGCGTACTGCAGCCAGAACGACTGCCTCTCGTTTCTCGTCCACTGGCCAGGTTCGTGATTAGTGTCTAGTTTTGCCTCAGCAGACGTCAGCGATGGAGTTTTCACTTGCGTCTCCCGCCAGCTGCGTGTTGCGTTCCCTTATTCGTTTTCTGGCCGCTAAGAACAAATCGGCGAAGGAAATTTACGAAGAACTTTGTCAAGTGTATGGAGAAGAGTGTAGTGTACCCAGGTCACCGGTATCAACAGAGTCCAGAGTCGTACAATCCAATCCATGAATAAATCATAAAAAGGACTTCTAGAGTAGCTAGATATTGTCAGTACAAATCGAATGATGTCTTTCAATGTTTTTCAATAGCTTGGAAATTATAGGAGGAGATAGATTTTAAGTTGGCGTTTTAAGGGAATTTTCATTGTTCAGGGAGGCCAACTAAATGCAATTTATTGAATAAAAGAAATGTTAAAAAATAATCGCGTTAAACTTCTTGTCCAGTTTAACGCGAATAATAAGCCATGAATGTGATTTTTTTGATATAATAATTTAAATAAAATGATCTTTTTGCGAAAAAGTTCAAACGGCTTTACGAAAAAAATATGATTGCTATTGCCTCGTGTTTTTGCTTTCGACTTCCAATAATTCTGCCAAGAAAATGAGATGAAATAAATACACGGAAAACGTAATTTCATCGACTTTAGGGAGACGCTGCCTTAATTGATATAGAATAAATATAGTGGTCAATGGTTAATAGAATAGACTGGATAGGTTAGAGCAAAACTGGATCAGCGTTTCTGATAGTGAAGAGTGTCTATCTGCAGGTATATTTGAAGCAAGCAAGTTAACACAGCGTTACTCGTGCTAAAAATAATGACAGCTTATAGAATCCCGTTAATTCCAAAGCCGTCATCCTGGGCCCTATCATCCCGAATTCAGTTAACTATTTTAGAACTAAACTACCAGAATTAAAGGAAGACCTGAGCAAAGCCCTATTTAACAAAGAACTCCAGTCCATCCTAACAAAATTTAGACGTGAGGGCCCAGGACTCGAGGCGCACGTAAATCAGCCGCTCAATGTCCACTTCTGCTCAGGGTTGGAATGACAGCCTCTGCGCAGCGTGCTAGCTCGGTATGACTCGGCTCGGACAACTCTTGTCATACTCTCAGGCAACTATAAAGTCGGAAAGGAGATTCTGACCAGAAACTGATTTCGATCGGGTGGCCAAGCAGACCAGAATGGTTGCGCCGACTGTAGCGACTATTCGGCTGAAGCCTATATATAGGCAGTCTCCGAGTTTTGCTAGGGCAAGATTCGTTTGGATGTAACTTGAACTTTATAGTCTTGGATACAATTTACACTTTTCAGAGTAAAAATCCGTTTTAAATTTATATACAACTTTCCCATAACTCCATTTCCGGTTCCATTTTTAAATAGAAATTTAAAGGTAATATCCAGACACGATAAGTATCCTGGATACGCACCCCAGCAACCGCTACATATTTCCAGCTGACATCGCTGTAACGACTAATTCCTTCTTTTTCCAGCTAACATCTCTGTTACGATTAATTCATTCTTCTTCGTGCTGGCATTGCTGTAACGATAAATTCATTCTTTTTCGTGCTGGCGTTGATCTTTCTTTCTTCCTCCAGCTGACCACTCTAAATTTTAATTCTCTCCCTATACAGTGGGTGCGCCTGTCAGGGTTTACCTCAAGACCAGCTCACCCCAAATCGCCGGATCACTCAATCCGCTGAAGGATGTCATAACCTGGTATCCTGAGTGTCGCTGAACCAAGCTGTTGTTTCATCCACGAAGCGTGATATACTGTCTACTGTCAAGCATGATTGAGTATTGACTGGCGTCCCTGACAACCATGTTGAAGGGACGCTTTTCCTACAGATGATAGTTCGCGAGATGTGCCACCTTTCAAAGTCGTGGCCTCCCACTAAAGTCATGGCTGCCCGTTATTGTCATGGCTGTCCGTTATTGTCATGGTTGAGCACGACCGACACACATGACCAACTCACTGACCACTGGAGAATTCCACTTCCTCGAGCATTTGCCTTCTGGTAATGAACGTCCTGTTAATGAACGTCCTGTTAATGAATGTCCTGTTAATGAACGTCTTGTTACACTAATTTTATTTGTCCACGATCTCACGCATGCCGATGCTGAAACGCAAGAAATTGTCATTGTAATCACGTGTGTCAACTGTAATAACAATAAAAAGTAATAAAATTCAATATACAATTCTGGTACTATGAAATTTACATGCTAGAAGACCAGCTACAACTGGATCGACAAGTAGTGAAGATGGTTCTTCATTCTCATGTTCCGACGTAAGACCTTCACACATCAAATAAAAGAGAGTGATACTCGAGATGAATGCAATTATTTCATATATGGCATGTTTAGGAAATAAATGAACTTACAGTATATTCTATCGTATACGTGTAATAAGGTGAGAGACAGCTTGAATTGGCTAAAGTTTGACACTTAGGAGAATGGCGCTGGTTCGGATTTCAAAGGGGCTTCTTGTAAAGTTTTAGGATATATAATGATGGCGAATGAACAGTGAGATTTATGTCAGTGACACACCGAGAGTGAGACTGAAATATTTCTTTAAATTAGCGGAAGAACACAAGACCTCGCCAGGTAAAAATTACCCAGAGCTCGTTAAGGGGCACCAACCCTTATGCTATAAGCACAACCTTTGACGGCTAACAATTTATAGTAATTGGAATGGAACACCTCCCGGGATAATTGTGGTAATTCTAGTAAACAAACTTGGAATTAAAGCTCAATTAGGGACTATTTGGGGCTAAAGGCCAAACATAATGCACTGGAAACAGTATTTCCTTTCGATTTCTGAAGAGAGAGCTTAGAGAGTAATATTAATGCATCATTACTCTTTAATTATATACACAAGAGGCTGCAACATACAGTATTAATCGTAGAATGTTGATTTGGGCATTCGAAGCAAGACTTTAAACTTGGTTAGGTTTCTTAGTGCGTCCAGATAGGTAATTGATCAATACTATTTTTTTTTTTTTTTTTTTTTTTTTTTTTTTTTTTTTTTTAAAAATTTTTTTTTTTTTTTTTTTTTTTTTTTTTTTTTTTTTTTTTTTTTTTTTTTTTTTTTTTTTTTTTTTTTTTTTTTTTTTTTTTTTTTTTTTTTTTTTTTTTTTTTTTTTTTTTTTTTTTTTTTTTTTTTTTTTTTTTTTTTTTTTTTTTTTTTTTTTTTTTTTTTTTTTTTTTTTTTTTTTTTTTTTTTTTTTTTTTTTTTTTTTTTTTTTTTTTTTTTTTTTTTTTTTTTTTTTTTTTTTTTTTTTTTTTTTTTTTTTTTTTTTTTTTTTTTTTTTTTTTTTTTTTTTTTTTTTTTTTTTTTTTTTTTTTTTTTTTTTTTTTTTTTTTTTTTTTTTTTTTTTTTTTTTTTTTTTTTTTTTTTTTTTTTTTTTTTTTTTTTTTTTTTTTTTTTTTTTTTTTTTTTTTTTTTTTTTTTTTTTTTTTTTTTTTTTTTTTTTTTTTTTTTTTTTTTTTTTTTTTTTTTTTTTTTTTTTTTTTTTTTTTTTTTTTTTTTTTTTTTTTTTTTTTTTTTTTTTTTTTTTTTTTTTTTTTTTTTTTTTTTTTTTTTTTTTTTTTTTTTTTTTTTTTTTTTTTTTTTTTTTTTTTTTTTTTTTTTTTTTTTTTTTTTTTTTTTTTTTTTTTTTTTTTTTTTTTTTTTNCTGTCTCTTATACACATCTAGATGTGTATAAGAGACAGAATCTACCCCATGCTAATGGAGTACTGTCTTCACTTAACGCCGCCTCCAGCAGTTTCTGCAGAGCATCCGCTGCGCAGACCACAGCTCCCCGGGGCACCCTCTTCAGTGCTCTACCATTGGCACAACACCGAGAAACATACCCCAAGAAGTCGAAATCTGCGGGTCTTTCTGCTATACCGACATTGGCTCTACCCAAGCACCCCGGGCACAGCCATCAATACTATGAATCATCACTTGTAGTACAATAATCATTTTAAACAAATTATTATTGGCTTCTAATTATCGCATAAGCGAAAATGGTACCGTATGCACGCACAATCGAACTGTGGCTGGTGTTTGAATCTACTCTAGCCCCTAGTGTGGATTAGTGAGCGTTGACAACAAGATAAATGTTTTTTTCGAAGAAAATAATAACATGATGTGAATAAACATGGCACTTTAACACAGTATGTTTTTATTACATAAGGTCATATTCAGACTTACCCAGAGACCTCAATATAGCCCAGATAAAATAGAAATTCACGAGGAGGTTTTACACGTGTTGAGGCGTGGGAGAAATGGAACGTGAAAGGACGCTACACTCCTGGCAATGTTGCCAATGCCAACCGACAAAATGGTTCAAGATCAATTGCGCTAAACTCTTGGAATTGAAGTATTTCCAAAAATCGTTGGTAATGAAGTTAGACTGTGCTGACGGGAGTGATTGGAACAGATGAATCCTTCCATCGTCCTGACGGGAGTGACTGGAACTGATGAATCCTTCCACCGTCCTGCCGGGAGGGACTGTAGCTGATAACACCTACCACAGTTCTGATGGGAGTGACTGGAATTGATGACTGTCAGGGTATCGGAGATGTTGAACGGCATCAATCGAATCGATGGGTAATAACGGACGGGTTACACAATAATTTTAATTGAATATAATAGACAAGGACGTAGGCGCGAATACTCAACTTAGGAACAAAGCAACGTACTTTGAAGGAGTGCATATAGTCGACGGTAGAATCACGGATGACTGACTATAAAATCCCAGACCACTGACGGTAGGATCACGGACGTCTGACGGTAGAATCACAGACGACTGACGGTAGAGTCGCAGAAGGCTGTCAAGGCCGAGCAGTTAAATATAGGTCTACTAGCTGACTATAACAAAATGCTGTGGTAGTCTCGATACTCTTGCTGGTAAATCGTGTGTACCGGATAGTCTCCCCAACCGGAACTGGAATGGACACAAGAGAAATCAGCAAGGCCCCTTAAATGTTTCAAAGGTTGCACAGAATATAATGATTGCAAGTATGACAACTGAAGATTTCAAATCATGAGCACACATTAAGGTCCTACCCAGAGTTAGAGTGTCTAAACCGGGTAGTGGATTCAGATGACTCCGCCAGATCTGTATATTACCCCACGATTAATTATATATGGCTTGATCCTCACAATGGCACCTCCCACCGTGCTGATGGGAGGAGCCGGAGCTGATGACGCCTAGCATCCACAGTGCTGACGGGAGCGACTGGAGCTGACGTCACCTTCCTCCGTCCTGACGGGAGTGCCTGGAACTAATGACACCTTACTCCGTATGGTAAGCATTGCGCAACATCTTCTGCAGATAATTTCAATCCTATAATAGATTTTCGCATGGCTTCGAAAGGGCTTTAGGTCACAATGATGTAGTAATAGAATTCGGACATACTGAAAGTAAGAGTCATATCCATATATCCAGGCCTATGAACAATGTAAGAAGTAAAAGCATACGTTAAAGTGGAAGTGCACAAAAAATTTTAAAATTTTTTACACGAACTCGGACTCCATTTGAACAAAAAAGTGAACTCCTAACCGGGATCGCAAAGGAGGGTAGACATCATTTGTATAACAGAAATACTCCCTAAAAATTACGGGGGGGGGGGGACTGAACCTGTTGAATTTCAGTTGCCAGGTTTTGATTGTTTTCATAACTTAAATCAAGAGCAGTGCAGTAGAGGTGTAGCTCTGTGGGTTAGAACCTCCTATGGGCCCCAACAAGTTAAGTTATCTGCAGAGCAACAATCAGCGAGAGAATCAGTGTGTTGGGAACTTATTCTAAGGATAGCCTCCTCATAGGGGTTCTTTATACAGTGGGGGGAAATAAATATTCGTACACTTGAAAAATCATATTTTAATGTATGTAAGTACACAAACTTAACAGGAGAAGTGATTTATATTATGTATAGAGGCGCATTGTATTCAAAAATAGCATCAATAGAAATTAAATCTCAATGCAACAAAATTTAATGCAACATGTTAACTTATTCGGGTCAAAAAAGTATTCGTACAAAACAACTTTTGACTAATATTTCACACCAGAACATTCCAGAATGTACTAGAAACGTGTAGCACGTTCCAGTAATGTAATCAGTAATCATAGTTAACGTATTTTGCAACTACCAGATCATTCTGCAACTGCCCGTAGTACAAGAAGGTCTCAAAAATGGCTAAAGGTAAAGAAGAACTAACAAGTTCCCAAAAACAACTAATTCTATCGCGTTGGAAGGAAGGAGAAAGTTATAGGAAGATTGCTAGCCACTTGAATGTTCCTTTTAGATTTTATTCATTTTTAGTTTAGTCGAACTGATGATGGAGCTGGACTCCGAAACGTTTTCAATATCGATATGGTGAATTTTCTTGGCGTTTTCTTTGCTTTTAAATTACTTGTGAACTTGCGATATAAGCAGACTAATGATATAAGTACTTATATACGATCTAAATGAACAGTACAGTTATAGCTCAGCTAAAGACCAAAAAGACCAGCCTACAAGCGTTATTTACGAGCTCGCAGCGATGCTGATTATAACCTGTATACAAGAGCTCGAAATCAAGCTAAAAAATCTGTGGCACCGCAGTGAAAAGCTTTGAAAAACAGTGCCAAAAATGCAAAGCAGAACCCGAAAGCCTTCTTTTTTTTCTTTTTGTACGCTAGTTCAAAGTGTAATTGACAAACGACGGTGCTGTAAGGTTGAATTAAACCTTTCTGTATTGTGTATTAGCCTGTCTCACGCTAGCCGTACATCGAATAATGATTTTGGATATTTATCTTTATTTTCTAATTTCTCTGTTCAATAAAAGTTTGTTTTGTCTTTATGTTTAGTTAGCGGAGTTCCCGCTAACTAAAGAGGTGTCTTCGATCAGCCACGGGTTGATTCGAGAGCTTGTTTTTAGAGAGATTTAAACGCTGGCGGAGCTCTGAAGCATGTTACGCTGCTCTTGCCACGAAATGGTTTTGTGTTGAAAGTGTAACCGTAACGCTTCTAAACTGTGACCTGTGCCACGTTTACCCTGAATCACCGGAACGAACTGCCCGACATCAACGTTATTTCTGATTTGAAAGTAAAGAAACGAAAAACATCCTCCGATGTGAGCAAGGCTAGCATTTTTAATCAGTTCTTTTA